TCTAACATAGCTATCTTATTAAATACTAATTGACTTCAAAATGAATCATTCTAATAAATATAAGACATCCACTGAATTGCTTTGAAAGCAGCACACCTGCTGATTTATTTATACCACCTGTGCTATACCAGAGGCCAGTACACTTTTTTGGTAAGGTGTCACATTACTGAATACTGTTGGCTTCTGGATGACTCAATTACTAGTTACTTGAGTCTGTCTTTGAAGTATAAAAATCACCATAGATAATGCTTAAAGGGATAAGTATGGCAATGTTCTGATAAAACTTAGAATAATAGAGGTGGTGGAGTATGTACTCAGCCTTCTGGAGGCTTTGGGCTCAATCCCCAGCACCAAAACAAAATAAAAATTTATTTACAAAAGTAGATGGAGGGTCAGGGATTTAGCTCAGTGGTTCTACCGCCTGCCTCACAAGCACAAGGACTGGAGCTCGATCCTGGTACCCCCCAAACAAACAAACAAATAAATAAATACATTGATGGAGACTGATACTTGGTCCATGGGTTTGCCGATCTTAGCATATACTAAGTATTTTATTTTATTTTAAATTTTATTTTTTGAGACAGGGTCTCACTATGTTGTTGAGACTGACCTGGAACTCACTATGTAGCCCAGGCTTGGTCTCAAACTCACAGCAATTCTCCTGCCTCAGCCTCCCAAGTGCTGGGATTACTGGTGTGTGCCACCATCTCTGGCCTGGATTTTAAAGTAAAGTGTAGACAGTAATTACACTACCTCCTCTTGAGCTTGGACCACTTTGCTCGTGTCTTATCATGTTGGGCCTCTTCTAATCAATCCATGTAAACAATCAATTTCCTACTATATATTTCGATATTTCCTAAAGTCTTTATAAAAAAGAGTGAGCTCAGTTTTTATCCAGCAAGTCAGTCATGGCTGAACTAAGTCCTTCCTCGTAACTGCTCAATGACATTTTTTGGCTAAATTAAGACCAGTAATGTGTATCGATCATTTACTGCTCTGCTAGGTGGTACTTATTAAGATATAGCTCCTGCCTGAGAGAAGTCCATGGTCTGTCAGAGAAATAGATATGTGCAAGATGTACATAGGCTTTACGAGTTTCAGCAGAGCTGTGGATGAAGTACAAGAGATAGTACAGTTAATTTCAGGGAGAGTAATGCGAAGTAATGTAGTCAGCTGGACTAAGGCTAAAAATGCTATGCTGGGGTGGTTTAAACAGCAAACATTTATTTCTCATGGTTCCAAAGACTGAAGAGTCTGAATTTTAGAGTTTGGTGAAGGTTTACTTCCCAGTTTATAGACAGCCATCTTGCTATGTTCTCACAGGGCTGAGAGAAAACTCATGTCTCTTAGAACTCTTTTTAAAGGAGACTAAACCCATTCATGGGGGCTTCCTTCTTATGACCTAAGTACCTTCCAAGCCCTCACCTCCAAATGCTATCACGCTGGGGATTCAGGTTTCAGTATACGAATTTTGTAGGGATGCAAACATGTAATCCCCAGAAACAGAAAGCTTCGCACGGAAGGTAACACTGATCAAGAATTGATAATGGCTAAGAGTTTTTCAAAGGAGAAGTTGGCAAAAGGCAGATTCTTGATATTTCAAGAGAAGATAATAAGTTCAATCTAACTGTACTTAAGAGTATGTGTGGCAGAATAGTGAGAGTCACTGATAAGGACTAGTTTTATGGTTTCTGTGTCAAGTTGGGAGCTTGACCTTCATCCAGCCAGCCAGGAAATAGCAGAGATTATAAAGCAAGGGCCATATGGTTATGACTGACTCACAGAAAGAATAGCCCTGTTCAGAGTGTGAAGGTAACTTGGAAGAGAAGAGCAGGAAAGTGGAGACTGAGCTGTAAATTGTGATAATCTAGATGAGAGTATAAAGCCCTAAAATAAGGCAGAGGCAGTGGGAATAAAAAAAGACACAGAATGGAAAGCTTTTTTTAGGGTGGAATAGCAGGATTCACTGAATGAACAGATTTTTTTTTTTTGAGACAGGCTCTCACTAGGTAACTCAGGCTGGTCTCAAACTCAGGCTGGCAATTCTCTTGCCTCAGCTTCTCAAATGCTAGGATTATATCTGTGCACTACCATGCCTGGCAGTAACTGAATGGACTGGAGATTAGAAAGAAGGAGGAGTTTTTGTAATTATTGGGTTCTATATTGTGGAGACAGGTTGGATTGAAACACCATGTACTGAGATGTAGGCTGCAAGAGGAAGGATACATTTTTAAAGGAAAATAATGTTTAGCTTATATATTGTAAAGTGCTAGGGGAACATCCAAGAAAGGTAATACAGAATGAGGACCAGTGAGACCCTATGCCTCTGGTGTCAGTCTCTAGAAATCTTGTGACCCTGAAAGATAGGTGCTGTTAGAGATATGGTAGATGCAGTTAGTGGTGACTAGGACAGGGGCAATGGCATTAGACTAATACACCCAAAGTAGCTTGGGTTTACAACACTGAGAGCTAATGGAGGTGAACTGAATCTCAGGTAAGTTTCTCTAGGGAGCATTTAAGACAGTAGGAGCCTGCAATGAACTGGAGCTTCTTGGGTAGTCTCTCTTGTCACTAGGCCTTCTCATTCTGGCTCACTTTGAAGAAGAACCAACACACAATTGAATTTTTAAACAATTGATTTCCTAATAAATAGTCTGAAAATACGTATATGTACTGAAAGTCTCTAGGCTATCCGTCTTTCTATCATATATACACACAAATGTAAAAGCATATTTCTATTTCTCTGAATAGAAATCTATCTTTAATAAGTATAATTGCACTATTCAAGCATTTAAAATCAAATGGATTTGTTCAAACTTTCAGATTCTCAAGTTGTTTTAGAGCTTACTCGAGGCAGTGCTGCAAAAAAGGAGAAATGATCTCAAAATCCCCTTGCCCTTTTTTGTGTCTCCTCTTCTTTCCTCTGTTGTCCCTTTTATCACTCCCTTAAGACACTCACCCCTGTCCTTCCTGCTTCCTTTTCTTTCTACCACAATCTATTCTTAGGAGAAAAATGTATCAGTTACTAATACTGCAGTATGAAATCTAAGTCGGTGGCTTCCCCCTCAGAGAAGGACTAACATTTGAAGAATTATGTCTGACTGTGGAATGAGACCTGATCCTGGTTAGATGAACTTTAATGATCTGGGAACAAGTACGCTGGGACTAGGGAACTAGAAAGCTCAGCTTTACTAACTTCATAATACTTAGGCAGCCTCCTACTCTGTTTCTTTCATAGGCTGGTCTTGGAATGCTAAATATATGCTTTCGTTCTATTCAATCCCTCTTCTAAAATCTGGGGAGACTTATGCTTTCTTTTGGAATTTCTTGCATCTTATATCATTAATTATTACTTATGTATGTTCCTCAGCTTTCCTAATGGATTTAAATTCCTTGAGGAAATAATGTGTCCCCAATTAAACTTTGTGTCCTACTAATAATATAAGACTTTACATAGTAAGTGCTCAATAATTGCTTATTGACGTAATGAATACTATTATCAATTATCGGGCTCAAAGAGAAATCTGAAGGTTTTCTTCAGTGAAAAATATCGGTTGGCCTTTGTGGAGATGGGAAGAGCTCTGAGGTTGGGGGTAGATGAGAAAGAGAGGAGGGAACGGAGAGACAAGAAGAATCAAGGAGTAACATGTTTATATCCTAGGACCCCTCAATGAATTATTTATTATTATTTGTTGTTGTTGTTGTTTTTGAGACAGGGTCTCACTATGTAGTTGAGTCTGACCTGGAACTCCCTATGTAGCCCAGGCTGGTCTTGAACTCCCAGTGATTCTCCTGCCTCAGCCTCCCGAGTGCTGGGATTACAGGCGTGAGCCACCATGCCCGGCTATGAATGTATTTATTATGTATCACTAACATG